GCACATATCAGGAGCAGAAACCATGCGGTTATATGTTGAATGTAGTAAGCAGGAGTGATAATACATGCCAACCATACTTATACAGAGGTGAGGATTGTATGAAAAGGTTTGTTGAACAACTGACCAAAATTAAGAAAGATGAATTTGAAAAAATGAATGTCAATAAACCAATGGATGAATTGACTTACGAACAAAAGACAGAATTTGATCAAGCAACCCACTGCTCTATATGTAATAAGAAATTTCAACCTGATGATACAAAAGTCCAAGACCACTGCCACTTCACAGGCAAATACAGAGGCGCAGCGCATGTAAAGTGTAATCTGGATTATTCATTTAGATATTTCAAAATCCCTATCTTCTTTCATAATCTCAAAAACTACGACGCTCACTTAATTATTGCCAGAGCAAATGAACTAAACATAGAACTAAACATAGAACTAAACCAAAACAAAAGAATAGATGTAATAGCACAAAACAGCGAAAAGTTCATAACCTTTTCATTTGGTGCTTGTCAGTTTAAAGACAGTTTTGCTTTCTTGACTGCTTCATTAGATAAGTTAGTTAGATTAAACAAATATGAAGGAAATGAAAAGGTTAAAGATTGGGAAACTCGTTTCAGATATACAAGCACCAACCCATATATCAAAACTAAAACTGATTTGAATTTGCTGACTGATAAGGGTGTATATCCCTATGACTATATGAACTCATGGCATAAATTTGATGAAATAAAACTACCAAATAAAGAAGACTTTTAGTCAATTATACGAAGAAAACATAACTGACAAAGACTACGCCAGAGCAAATATTGTATGGAAACATTTTAACATTAAAACCCTTGGCGAATATCATGATTTATAATTGATGACTGATGTATATTTACTGACTGATGTTTTTGAAAATTTTAGGGACATGTGCTTAAACTATTATGGATTAGACCCAGCATATTATATCACTTTACCTAACTATTCTTGCAATGCCTTTTTTATCACTAACAGGAGTTAGACTTCAACAAATCCATATACAAGAAATGTATGAGATGATTGAACATGGATTAAGAGGAGGAATGACACAGTGCTCCTTTAAGAAAGTAGAAGCAAACAATAAATACATGAATGAAGGTTATGATAAATCTAAACCTTCATCATGTGTAAGAAACTTCCCTATGATGATTTTAAATGACATTACGGTAGAATGGATGAAAAGAGAGTAATGAAATATAGTGATGATGATGACATAGGATATATATTGGAAGTTGATTTAGATTATCCAAAGGAACTTCATGATTTACATAAAGACTACCCACTAGCGCCTGAAATCATGTGTGTCAATGAGAGTATGCTTTCACAAGTCCAAAAGGATATACAAAAATACTATTATGGAAAAGATGCCAGTGATGAAAAGACAAATAAGCTAGTATTAAATGTGATGGATAAAAAGAAGTATGTTTTACACATATCAGCATTGAAATTCGATTTGCAACACGGATTACGTACTAAAAAAAGTCCATAGAGCAATAAGTTTCAAACAAGCAAACTTCTTAAAACCATTCATTGAATTCAACACCGAAAAGAGAAAGAATGCCAAAAATGATTTTGAAAAAGATTTGTTTAAGTTAATGAATAACAGCGTATATGGCAAGACCATGGAAAATGTAAGAAAGCATGGTGGATATGAGATAGTTAATACACCTGAACGCTTCCAAAAACTGGTAAATAAACTGCTATTCAAGCACAGGCATATCATAAATGAAGACCTTGTAATTGTTGAAAAAGATAAACACACAGTGGAACTAAACAAACCTATCTATATGGGTATGTCTATTTTAGACTACTCTAAAATTCACATGTATTCGTTTTACTATGACGTTTTGAAACCCAAATATGATAATAAAATTAAGTTGGCATATACTGATACTGATAGTTATGTAATCAAAGTTGAGACTGATGACTTATATGAAGACTTTAAGGAGATTAATGAATACATGGATTTTAGTGATTATCCACCAGAGCATTCAAACTATGATAAAACAAATAAGAAGGTATTAGGAAAATTCAAGGATGAAATGAACGGTAAAATAATTACTCACTTTATAGGATTAAAACCAAAAGCATATTGCTATAAAGTATATGGTGGTGAGAGAGAACACAAGAAGAGTAAAGGAGTAGTCAAGCATAAAGTGAGCAATCAGTTAAGTTACAAAACTTATGAAGAGACACTGAATAGAAACTGTAAAGAAGAAGTCAGTTTTAACACTATCAGAAGTAAGAACCATCAAATCTATAGCATTAATCAGACTAAATATGCTTTAAGCAACTACGATAATAAACGCTACTGGTATTCAGATTTTGAGAGTCTCCCATTTGGACATTACGCCATCAAATATCTACATCACGAAAAGATGATTTAAGATATATGTATATAGATAGATGTGAACAGATATGAAAACGGACAAGTTTATAAGATAGTTGATGTTGGTTAAAATAAATGCTACATCGATTCAACAATTGAAAAACTGAGTCAAAGAATGGCAAGACATAGAAGAGATTGTAAATCTTATCTATATAAACTTAAACAATAGAAATCACCAAAAACACCATGCTAACTCTATGAAATTGTTTGAGGAGTCCGGTGTCGAAAACTGTAAAATAGTTCTCATTGAAGAATACCCATGCCAAAACAGAAAGCAACTCGAAAAGAGAGACGGTGAATATATTGGAAATGATAAGAGCCGTCTAAACAGATGTATTGCTGGTAGGACTAGAACGGAATATTACGATGCCACCGGAGAGCATCACCTCGACCAGAAGAAACAACACCGAATATTCAAATAGAGAATATTGAAAAAGACAAACAGCATCATGAGAACAAAAAACAAAATACAAGAACACCAGAAAAATAAAGATAGATATACTGAGAAGACTTTAAGAATAGAGAAGAAAACAGAGAAGCAATGAGGCAAACACAAAGAAAGAGATACCAAAGAGAAAAAAATAGAACTAATACCCAAAAGCAGAGAAAGGCGAAAACAAAGAACAAAAAGCAATTACTAATCAACCAAAAGTAGTTCATGCCTATTATATCTTTTACTCATTCCATCTAGTTCATATTATCTATTATTCATCATATCACGACCAACTAGTATTACTTCATACTTTCTTTCACTCCATTGACTTCTAGTTTCTTTCCTTGATACATAGTTGCCCTTTCCTTTATCAAATATCTTAACATAATCTCCTTCACTTATGTTTGGATATTTTCTGTTGTGCTTTTCTTTCAGTATCAGATTTGTTCTGACCTGAATTGCGTTATCAAGGTTGTGCGCATTATTAGGTGTTGTCTTGGCGCTACCGTGGATTTGGTTGTTGTATCTATTCAACGAGGGCTTTAGCACTTCCACCCATGTTTTGTTTTTGTAGTGCCTCAATCTGTCCCCAATCATTTTTTTGACCGTGCGTATCATCCTTTCTGCCTGATTTGCATGCGTCTTTGTTATTACGTGTGTTATACCTTCCTCCGTAAAAAATGTTTGCAGCTTCTTGCTGTTCAACGCTCCTTCGTCGTCGCTGTAAATCGACAAAGGCTGACCCAATACCTTGAAACACTCCATGACTGCTTTATAAACGTCGTCACCATCTTTATTCTCGATAGGGACTATGTGACATTTTTTGCTGAAAATATCTATGCATATTAAACCATATCGTAGTTGACTTTTGATTTCAGAACCTACGTCTCGCAACAAACTGGTAACATCCATCAAGTCAGTTTGGAATTCATACTTGGGAAACGGAGCAGTGTAGGAATTGTAGTTCTTGTAGTTTCTTGTTTGCTTGTTCGGTTGCGCCCTCATCCTTGACTTTCCTAGCCTTTTCGTATAAGTCCCTCACCGAACCGAAGCCCTCCTCTACGTCGTAGTATATTCTTTCCAATACCTTTTCTTTTTCCAATCTTGTCATTAAACATACTTAGATTATATTTTTATGATGTTTTCTTGTATCATAAAATCATAGTGAACTCAAACCAAGAACCTCTGGCACTTCTTCGTTTTCTTATGCTTTGCCAAGTTTGATTTACAACTTAAGTCAGAACCGCATATATCGCATATGCAGGGCTGTTTCGTTTTCTCTTGGTAATATCTTTGGAAATATTTTTTGTCGTTCGGTTTTCTGTTGTAGTATCCGTCCTCCTGCTTTCTCCATTCAGCATTGGTGTTCTTGTTAACGGATGAATTCGCTTTGTAGCTTTCTTCAGATGAAGATGTTTCGCTGTCAATGAGTTCTTTGTTGCCAAAACCGTTCCAAATAAAGTGAAAGGTTTCATTCGTCATCGGGATTTCAATTCCATTACTTACAAAGTAACAAGGCATACTGTGTATATATATATATATAGTGAATTATATGTCTTAATATTTAAGCACTTTTTGCCCGCTGGGGGTTTTGTGTATAATATCTCTACGCCGTCTCATATAAGTCGGTGGCATGCTTTTCGTGACTGCAAGGAGTTTAGCATGTTGAAAAGGCACCCTTAGTTGCCAAAACTTTGTCCACTAGTTTTCCACCGATTTTCCTTAAAATTTCTTCTAGTTTTCCATTCAAAGTTGTGCTCATTGTCATTCAAAAATCACGTCCCCATGATCCCCCGCTCTCTAGAAAATGGAGGTATACCGGTATACCCATTTTGACCATCGGTCCCCATTTGAAATGGACAACTTTGGGGTACCACACAGCTTGAAACCGATAATCAAATTGCAAACACTAACAATCATTGTCTCACAATCCCCGCGTCAAAATTTTGCCAATGACAGAATTACCAATTGATTTATCATTTTTCACCATTAAAATCATCATCTTGACAATTTTTTGCCATCAAAATCTCTATTTTGCCAATTTTTCCCCATGACAATTCCCATATTGTCCAATTTTCCCTCTGAACATCACCATGGTTTTCCCCATTAAAAACAACGTGTTTTCCCATACGGGGATGATTTGCCAAGATACCCTGGCCCAAATTCGAAGACGCTACGGCTCAGGATATCCGTACCACCGTCGTTGGGCAAAAGCCTGTCACTCCCGAAACCCATGGCCCTTCTTTTGAAGTCATTTCTGTGTCGGGGATACTTTCGGCATTTTGCCCGACTGTTCTTGCTCGGAGTTGATTCAGCATTTGGGCATGGTTCAAAATTGGGGACTTCAAAATGGAATGGTTTACGATTCAAAATCTGCCGTTCCCAGGCCCATGAAACCCAATGCATTTAAAACATATTTAACATTATTGACCTATACACTATACCGAGCAAAGCAAAAACTGTTTGTTTGCCTCACCGGTATTTCTTTGCAGGTCTGCATGCGCCCATCCCGTATTACTACCAGCAATCCATCCAACATCTAACAGTTTTTGGCGGCCTCTCGGTGGAAGTGGCGCTGCTCAGATTGCTTGATTTCCTCCGCAATTTTTGGGCAGCAAAGAAAGTTTTGATGAACTAGTAACTAGTGATACCACTACTTTGACGTTTCACTTTTGAAGATTTTTAAACAATTATAAAGAATAAAGAATAATGATAATCATCATCATTATCATCATCATCATCATCAACACCATCATCATCATCATCATCATCATCATCATCATCACCATCATCGTCATCGTCATCATGGTCATCATCACCACCCCGGCTATGGTTATGTATCCACCTAAAAGTTCTATCTAGCGAAATCTTGTCGTGCCCGCCCATTGGTCTCCAGCTCCTCAAGCGTCTCCACCTTTCCTTCAACCAGAAAATCAACAGGCCTCAACTGCGCCCAGAAGCAAAAATATGCTGGTCGTTTTGGATCATCGTTCCAAATAGGATATATATGGAAATAGGGGAAAAAACCCGCCAACATTCATATACCAGTAGTACCGCACAAGGCGGCGGCGGAAGTTTCAAAGGTAGGAAACTATAGAAGAGGTGAGTGGTTGTGATGCATGGGTGGCAGAGCGAATCCACTGATGGACCGAAAGGTGGTTGTGATTTTCGGAGTGGTTGCAGTGCCTCACCCACAACTGCAGCATGTAGTGCGGTGTAGCGAATGCAATGTAATTGTAGTTGTAGGTGTATTTGTAGTGTAGTTGCAATTGTAGCTGTAGTTGATGTTGTTGAAGTTGTTGAACTTGTAATGTTTTAGTTGTCGTTGTAATTCTGGTAGTAGTTGTAGTTGTAGTGTAGCTGAAGTGTAGTTGGAATTGTAGTTGTAGTAATTGTAGTAGTTGTAGGAGCTGTAGTTGTAGTTGTAGTTGTGGTTGTAGTTGTAGTGTAGTGGTAACTGTTGTAATGTAGTTGAAGTTGAATTTAAAGTTGTAGCTGCAGTTGTAGTGTAGTTTACTGGCAATGTTAGTTGTAGTTGTAGTGTAGTGGAGGTTGAAGCTGTAGCTGTAGTTGTAGCATCGTGTAGTTGTAGTTGTAGCTGTAACCTAGTGTAGTCTAGTGTAGTGGTAGTTGTAGCTGGAGTGCAGTTGCAGCTGTAGTTGTAGTGTAGTTGTAGTGTAGTTGGAAGTTGTCGTTGCAGTTGCGGTTGTAGTTGTAGCTGTGGTGTAGTTAAAGCGCAGTTGAAATTGTAATTGTAGTAACCGTAGTAGTTGTAAGAGTTGTAGTTGTAGCTATAGTTTTAGCTGTAGTGTGGTGGTAACTGCTGTAGTGTTGTTGAAGTTGAAGTTGCGGTTGCAGATGTAGTTGTAGTGTAGTTTACTGGCAGTGTTAGTTGTAGTTGTAGTGTAGTGGAGGTTGAAGCTGCAGCTGTAGCTGTAATCTAGTGTAGTCTAGCGTAGTGGCAGTTGTAGTTGCAGTGCAGCAGTAGCTGTAGCTGTAGTGTAGTTGTAGTGTAGTTGAAAGTTTAACTGTAGTTTCAGCTGTAGTTGCAGTTGCAGTTGTAGTAGTTGTAGTAGCTGCAGTAGTTGCAGTTCTAGTTCTAGTTCTAGTTGTACTTGTTGTTGTTGTTGTTGTTGTTGATGTTGTTGTTGTTGCTGTTGCTGTTGCTGTTGCTGTTGCTGTTGCTGTTGTTGTTGCTGTTGCTGTTGCTGTTGTTGTTGCTGTTGTTGTTGTTGTGGTTGTTGTGTTGTTATGTTGTTGTGTTGTTGTGTTGTTGTGTTGTTGTGTTGTTGTGTTGTTTTGTTGTTGTGTTGTTTTGGTGTTTTGGTGTTTTGGTGTTTTGGTGTTTTGGTGTTTTGGTGTTTTGTTGTGGTGTTGTTTTGTTGTTTTGTTGTTTTGTTGTTTTGTTGTTTTGCTGTTTTGCTGTTGTTGTGTTGTTGTGTTCTTGTGTTGTTTTGTTGTCTTGTTTTGTTGTGTTGTTTTGTTGTGTTGTGTTGTTTTGTTGTGTTGTTCTTGTGTTGTTCTTGTGTTGTTTCGTTGTGTTGTTGTTGTGTTGTTGTTTTGTTGTTGTTTGCTGTTGTTTAGTTGTAGTGTTGTACTGTTGTCGTGTTATACTGTTGTAGCGCTGTAGTGTAGTGTAATGGCATTTGTCGTTGTATTTGAAGTGTAGCTGAAGTGTAGTTGAAGTTGTAGTAGTTGAAGTGTAGTTGAAGCTGTAGCGTAGTTGTAGTGTAGTGGTAGTTGCATTTGCAGTCGTAGTTGTAGCTGTAGTTGTAGTCGTAGTGTGTTGTAGTGTGGTTGCAGTTGCCCATCTATCTGTCTATCTATATATATATCTCTCTCTCTGTTTATCTACCAGTCTATCTATCTGTCTATCTGTTTATCTCTCTATCTGTCTGTCTGTCTATCTAGCCATCTTTCTGTCTGCCTATCTACCTAT